TAAGGGCGGTCGACTGAGCGGAGCGCTTCCCGAGAGGGCTGAAGTCGGGGCGGGGACCGATGAAGGTGAGCTCGGCGTCGGTGGTGGCGAGCCAGTGGGCAAACTCGGCCTCGCTGATGATGTTTACGCTCTAAGAGATGTGACGGTTAGCGCAATCGGCAATGCTATGTGGTCGTTGCTGTACTCGCCTCGAAGTTGGCGATAGCCTGCGTAACAAGGAGTATATTTAGAAGACATGGTTTACAATAGAGCCGCCCTTAGAAAAGTCACTGATACTCACTGTGGGGCCGGCAGCGGCGACCGTTGCGAAGGCGACGATGGCGCAGAAGAGATTGTAGAGCTGCATGTCCGAATAGTGCTTTGGAGGTGAGGGTGTTCACTACTGCTCTCTCGTTTCTCTGCTCATATTTTATACGTACTTGCTGTCCCTGTTTGGGCTCTAGTCGTCCAAGGAGTCTACGGACTTGAGGTAAGTCCCGTCTTCGTCGCAGGATATGGGTGCCTTTCGAAAGCGACAGAATCAACGTGCTCGTGGTAGTCCTCAAGCCGTTTGCACGGCTAGTCTCCATTGCGCTCTAAGGTAGTAAGTGGTCTACCAAACAGTGTTTTGCGAATATGCCGCTACTCGGGCAAGCGATGCATCGACTGTCGTCCGTCCACGCGTGTCGGGATGTCTCTGATGGCATGTGTCGAGTGCCTTGCACCGTTGAATCGAATATTCCACATGGGACTTGACCCTTCTCGATTCCTCTTGCGACAGGTCAATTGTCACCTAATCTTCTTTATTACGACCAAAAAGTGCGGTCACAGGTTGAACCGCCTGTTCTTGGTACGCATAGAGAGCCCATCACGAAAATTGCATTACCACTCATGCCGTCTAAGCTCTTTCAGATAAACGCACGGATCTAAAACTTAAGTCCGTGTGTTGTTACCCCGTGCCTATGTATGTGCTTCTGACTGAAGTCCGCTCCGATCTTTCTCGTATAAGGCTCGCATACTTCATAGAAGACGTCTCTACCGACGTGCGTAGAAGGTGGACCGGGCATGTCTGCCCTGCTGGCAGTGCACTTCTACACAAGCGTCCGATACATGCGCGGGAGTCAGCTGGTTCAATGAGGGGGCGGACGTACCTGAGGATGTCAAGCTACGTGGCCTTGCTGGGCTTTCGACCGTATGCCTCGAAGGTCGCTTTATGGAACGAGAGGAAGATGAATTTCCTTCTCTTCCCTTGAACATCCTCTGTTCACCTCGTCTAATTCGTGCGTGGCAGTTGCTTGTCCGCTACCCGCTGTGCTAGTCCCTGAGTCTATCTGCCGTGCTTCTTTTCAGTGCCTTAGGATCAATAGATGGACCTTGAGGTCGTGGGACCAGTGCGTACTTGTTTGTCTATTGAGTGACCCCTACCGGACTACATCGGACGAACTAATACATACGGGGAGGCAGAGCGGGCGAAGTCAGACATCCCGCCTATCGAACGTGGATAATATGAAGAAGTCGGAGACAGTACTACTGAACCGAGAGGGGCAACAACCAATTTTGGCTAATCGGCACGGAGCTCACGAGGGCGTCTTTGGTCATGTCCAGAAGGAGGATACGAATTTCCCCAGAATATAGGTCCATATAAACGGTCAAGCAGGAGTGCTTGTTCGACAAGTCAGGCTCTTGGCCACCGGCTATACCTGCAGCTCAGATGTTGCTCTTTGGCATCCACGCTCTGGCCGTGTTTCTCGTGATTGTTGCTGGTGGCTCCATTGCAGTGAGCATTCTCGTGAGCGCACCGCCACTTGGCTGACTCGCTTTTGACTAGACTACCTCCGACTTGCCGTCGGCAGATATCGTCGTAAGTATGACCTTAATTACGCGCGTCTGTACCACAATAGTATTGCCTAATGTACTGACGGTACTCCAGTCGGTAGAGGCTACGTACCACCAGACGCCTCTCGAAACATGGTTAAGGACGACCAATGCCAAACTGACGTTCATCAACCCGCCGCCATCTGTTTTGGACCACAACCACTCAGCAACTCCACGTTCAGCGCTCAACACGATCATCGTGTATTGCTCTAAGCGCGTCGGTGATGTGTGTGGGGGTGAATGCACAGTATATAACGGCAGTGCCACGTGCCTATTCACTCCACACACTCAGTGCATCTTGGCCTCGAAGGATATCGGCTTTTGTGACAGGAAGGATTGCGATGGGAACTGCAGGACGTTCTCGGGTTGTGGGACATTTTTGCGGGATGGTTTCTGTCTGGCCTTGGGCACAAAGTCAATTGTTGTCTCTCCTCTGTGAACCTGTCACTATCAAATAACGCAGCTACGATGTTAGGAAATAGGAGTGAGAAAGGGACGATATTAATGCTAGGACTCAACGGATGATGAAGTTAGGGACGGCCCCAGATACATGGGCGCTACCCCAACACTGGCGCCCTGCACCAGCCGGCAGTTGCCGGCATATATATGAATAGTGACCGGCAGTGAGCACTCCGATCTTCACTCGATCGACATAATTCTACAACGTAGAGATTTTCGGGCAGTGGACTAGGGACACCCAGCGATACCCTTCGAAGCCAAAGAGGATCTCATTTGGCTGACGCATACGGCACCAATGGTCCACATATGTTGAAGATGCAGGTGGCACTGGCCCGCCCATCACTACAAGTCCACCAACACTCACGGTCGTGGCCTATCCGACAGGCCCCGTTCAACAAGCCTTCCCTCTTGTCGACTATTTTGAACACTATCCATCTGGCTAGAGGGCATCATCAACCAGATTCGCGCACATCATGGTGCAACAGCCTTCCTGAAGGTAAACACATCCAATCTCGAGACCCAATAACATCCAATTCATCCCATATGCAAACGCTGACCAGACCCCGGCCTTTTCAGCCCTAATCTATCGGCCACTAGCCGATTTGGAATCATGAGTGACCATAATTATATGCTTGTGGCTCTCTAGATGGGGCTCACCAATATCTAGAGCAACGAAACAAGAATTGACATCGTCCCAGGCGTCGCGCAGAACCCGCTGCCCATCGTGGTTCCACATTGGGAGAGCACGTTGCAGTCCCCGTTGCAGCCTGCCTTGTCGCAGAATCCAACGTCCTTCGTCGACCCGAGGCACGCCGTGTCCGGGGCAGGAAAGCATGTACATCAGGAAAAACATCCCTTCCGAATAAGAACAAATAAGTGCATATTTGCGAAAATTAGTGCATATTTTCTTATTCCACAAATTAGTGCGAATTATATCGGTCCCTTGCTAATATTCTTGATTAGATGCCATTAGATACAGGGATTTTCCATGCAGTTGCTCTGTTTGAACATTCATAAATGATTATATGTGGTCTTTACACATGTTTTAAGCATATGACCTTATGTTAAGATAATCCAGGTGGAAGCCAAGAAAAAAAGGCAATTAAAAAAATGCCCATTCCCAGAATTGAACCAGTAACCTTAGCATGATTCCAACCATCAATGTCACTGCAGTGCTATAGCCCACTACACCATATTGCATTGCATACTACAATGTGGCCATGCAATATATCCCTTGCTTTGTTGGACTTAGACATTTTAGCTCATGTTCACCCCTTTGACATTAAATCACTCTACATATTTCTTCTTCACACAATGTCTGAAGGCACTTCCATTTACATTTGTGATCTATAAGGGCTATTTGCACACCTTTAGAACAGGCTTACATAAAAAACTTAAAACATTATCACCAATTATCTAGCCTTAGTAAAAGATAGAAGGAATGTTCCCCTTAGCAAGTTTCTTTAGTCATCACATATCAAGTGATATATATGTCCAGAGTGTGTCTAGAATAATATATAAAGGTTAACATACTGTAACAGATGCTCAAACCTCAATCTAGAACAATACAAAAGAAAAAAGATCTGATTTCTGGATTTTCTCTAATTAGTGATAATTTAGTGCTTATTCGGAGAGGATGTTTTTCCTGATGCTAGTGCCTCCGGTGTAAACGGTGCACGTCCCGCCGCAGATGCTTCCCACACGCTTGTTGCAGTATGTGACCGTCGTTGACTGGGCGGAGCGTTTGGCGAGCGGGGTGAGGTTGGGGCGGCCGCTGATGAAGGTGAGTTCGGCGTCAGTGCGAGCCAGTGCTCGAGCTCAGCGTCGCTGATGATTCTAGAGGCGGCAACCTACAGTTCGGAGAGGTTAGTACCGGGTGCGGCCCGCTTTTGTCGCTCTCGATGATAGTGCTCACGTTGTTGGCAGCGATGGCGGGGGTGGGACTGGCTCTGACAGCGGTGGCCAGAGCGACGATGGAGAAGAGGAGAGTGGAGAACTGCATATCTGAGTAGTAGGGGACGAGAGTAGTGAGTTGGTGTTCACTATGGTTTGCTCATCCTCCTGCTCACCTTTTATACCCCTTTCATCAGTACGTTCCCTTGGTCTCTGTATCACACTTCACAGAGTAGTGTTCCCGCCGTCCTGTTGTCCGATGCCCTGCGGCGGTTTGCGGCGGCTCGACGAACTAGCCGGCCTGGGCTCGAGTTGTCTCGGCTCTGTTGCCCCCTGTTTGCATGTCGTAAACCACAAGCTTTAGAAAGTAAGCGCATTACGGTCCTACGGCATGCTTGGCACTGGACGAGGCTGGTCCCTGCACGCTACGTTCGTAGGCCTGGAACAAGTTGCGCTTCCGGTGGCAGACTATGCTCGTGTCATAGACTTACCCCACGCTCCTGGTAAGGTAAAGTGTTTCCTTCCCTCTGAAGACGCGCTAAGGCTGTGAAGTTCGTCTCCCGACGAATATGACCATGACATTGGTAGTCGAAGCGAAAGGAGCCCAGACGAGTCCAAAGTCCTGAGGAAGTTGTGGCTTCTATGTTTCACACTCGTGGTGTCTACTAGAGCGGAGTCAGGGGAATGCGTCTCCAGTCGAAGTCTTCTCTAGATCTTCACGTCTGCATCTTACTCGGGATTGGGCATGCCACTGGCGACGTGTTCCTACCAGGCTCAAAGCTCCGAAACCTCAAGGCGAGATGGCCGAGCGGTCCAAGGCGCCAGACCAAGGCGAGTTACGCATTCTTCCAGAATTGTAACGGTCAATTATCTGGTCCGAAAGGGCGTGGGTTCGAATCCCACTCTCGTCACAGCTGAGTGTTGATATCTTTTCGCATTTTTTCCCGGCAAAGGGCACGGTAGAAAAATTTGTGGCGGGGAGTGACTTAGAACTTGAAGGGTTTAGGGAAGTGCATATTTGAACGACGTTTACTGATGTTAGGGGACAATCTTCTTTGCATGCTAACTCTCTGTTAGTATATCGGTTAGTACACGCGCTTGTCATCATGATGTTCGCGCGAAAGCGGGGTTCGACTCCCCGACAGAGAGGTTAACTTTTTGATTCTTCAACGTACTCAACCCAGATTACCGTACCCCACACTGCCGTACGCACCATGCCTGGTAGGGTATGATGACCCGATATATTTACGTAGTATTCTAGTTTAAAACAAACTCATGAGTTACAAGAACGCCTGAGCCTGAATATTCCAGATATTTGCGTATCCTCCACCCTGTTTTACCAGTGTATCGTGGGTTCCGGCTTCAACTATGGAAGCTCTGTCCATGTACCTGCCGCCAGTCCACGATAATGTAAGAGGAGTAACTGGGATCCCGCCAGGTCCGTAGGCTACTCACAAAATAAGGTCTGCGTGGCGCGTTAAGTTGCCGAAACGGTGCGACGAAAAGAGCATGGTTTTGCTCCCTCGGAGCTCCCGAAGACGATTAAACAGATCTACAGAAAGGTACAGGTAAACAAATACCACTTTGGATTCCAAGGGTCAACGTACCTTGTTCTGCAACGGGGTCGAGGGAAGCGCTGGGTTCGTCAAACAGGAGCAATCCGACCTTCATTTCGTCGGATATTACAGAGCGCATGAAGCTCCTCGACCTATAAGCGTCCAGCGTGATTATCGTTAGGAGTATCCGATGGTTGACAGAACTGGAGCACTACTTACACCGCGAGTCGCTGCATCTGGCCTCCGCTCAGGACCGACGTCCCGGAAGATTTCATTGATCCAGCATCGCGAACCGCGTTGTAGTCGACCTTTCGCCCAAAGAGCGTGGTGGTACCTTCGGGTAGACCTGCGTAGTAATCGCGCACAGGGCGGTCCAGGTACGTGTCGAACCCCTCCGGCAATTTATCGACGAACTCCTCGGCTCCACCAAGGCGCGCAGCTAGTCGCACATGGTCATCGTCGCCCGTTGTCGTTGGATCTCCCAAAGCGATATTGTCCCGGATCTGTAATGTACGCGACCAAGATATATGCCGTACGAACTTAATACAGCAGGGATCCGCTTACCGATAGGGGGAAATGAGTATAGTCTTGAAAGAGAACAGAGATGGCCTGACGGAGATCCCTGAGCTTGAGTGTGCGGATGTCGTGACCACCGATGAAGATCTGGCCTTCTTGGGGATCATACAACCGAGTAATGAGTTTCAGAATGGTGCTCTTGCCAGAACCGTTAGATCCCACGATCACCTGTAGTGTACCTCTTAACAACGAACCATTTGAAGAGGGTATCACATACGCAGAGCTGTCCGGGAAGTACATTGAAAGATATGTCTTGCAAAGCATAGTTTGCGCTACCGGGATACTTGAATGAAACGTGTCTGTATATATTGTTAATAAGGCTGGGTATTATCTCAGGATCCAGATTTAGACCTACCTAAATTCAAGAGCAATACCCGACCGGATCTGCGTGCTGTCCTCGGGAAAAGGGAGAGTACCGTCAACAACAGTATTCGGAACGTTAGCTACTTCGTAAAGCCTGCGGATGCGAGCCAGCTGCTTGGCGAATGACTGGCTAGAACGCATCAGTTCATATATGTTGTATGCGAATGTGTCCGTCGTTTCTCTAAGCATTTGGAGAGACGCGAGGGAGACAGGCATGTTAGCCGGGTGCTGCACTGCGCGAAGGGTGAATACGATCTGCATACGAGTGAGTAAGCGCAGACGCCGAGAGGGAAATAGCGCACGTCACCTGAGGTAATTCGCGCAGTGGATGTTGCAGTAATGCGAAGAAGCTGAAAGACTTTCTCAATCTTCCGTAATTTTGCCAATAGTTTAAAGGACCGTCGGTATCGCCGAGGCGATGTAATGCACGTTCGTACTCTAAAGGGCCAAGCCGTCATTGCAAAGGGTAGAGGGCACGACATTATATCCCTTACCAGAGACCGCGTATTCGGATAGGTTGCCGGCTAACAACTCCTTACGATGCGTCATATCGTGCACAAGACGTTGAAGCCCTTTCATTTTGAGATAATCCTTGTCAGTCGTCGTGATAGCCCACACTGGGTTACGCGTGAGCGGTACCAAAGCCGAGTTATAAGTTATAGCACCAACCTTGTGGGCGCCAAGACAACACGTCTAAAGCTGAGACCCAATCGATGGTTTGTGCTACGACGCTGATACCTCCGAGTATCCACCCATCGTGCTGTCCGTTCAACGCGCGACCAAGGACCCAGATCTCTAGGACTGCCTGCCCAATAGCTCTAATGAGCGTCGACGTCATGTGCAGTGTTTCCCAGACGAGCGGCCATTGGCTCGAGTCAGGCGTGACGTCCGCGAGCTGTTGCTGCACCACAGAGGTTTCATACGTAGGGAGATCGAGTCGAGCCCGAGCGCGGAAGACGTGCGCAAAAGACCAGTTCCGGGTCCTCCATACGAGCGCGCGGGCGGTGCGACTCTCGGCAAGTTCGAGAAGGTATGAAAACACGGAGCATGCGATGCGGGCGGAGCATATATAGACGAGCCGATCTTTGTCGACAGTACGAGTGTCGATCGCCACTTGCATCTGGGGACCGTGTCAGCGTGTGGCGGTTGGTATTGCGGGGAAAGTCTGCCCACTATTTCCAACAATTGTGCCTGATACCTAAGTTATAACCAACGGGTTTTTCGTCAATCAGCCCCCGATAATGGTGAACATGTGTAGTACAGACACACCATAGAGTTAAGGCAGGCACGACGGCCTTTCCGAGATCTGCGAACAAGAAACAACCGAGGAGAATTGAACAATCGGGGATGGCCACGACGTCTTTGATCATCCGCCAGATGAAAGGCAAGCATCCAACGATTTCCGTGTACTGGTCCAACCACGACGCACCAGGGATGCTACTCTGCTTTGTAGATTTCTCTTCGTAGTAGAGATCCCACACTCCCAGTTTCCGATGCTTGACTCGCCGCTTGTCGGTAGGGTCGAAGGTCCCTTTGCGGGTGGATGAAGTTGTATGAGACCCGAACATGGTGAATCTGCGAGTGCTTACCAGAAGCAACGGCGGGACGACCATTCGACTTTATACTAGTGTTCTGAGGGCCCCCGTGCTGCGAGTGGTTTCTCTTGGCGCTGGCGGAACCGCCGTAAAGGCTTCTTTCTGTCGAAGGAGTCATCTTGTGGCAGAGAAGACGTGATAAGAACGTCAAGTCGCCTGTTAACGCCTCACAACCACAGGCACATAAAAGTTGGGCATTTCCTATCTTGCAGGGCATCAGTCTTCTACATAGCGTTGAACTGTCCAACCAAGTTTCAGCGTCTGGTGGGCGCAGCGCTTCCACGACTTCGTTAGGGTAAGGTGTGCAAACCGATTCCTACTTTACTCCGAGGGAGTAGAAACACGGGGCACTTGGACCGAATGGGACAGTCTCCCCGGTCCACGGAGGCGACTTAGCCTCAAGAACACCTGCACCTGAGTATTCCAGATGTTTGCATAGCCTCCGCCTCGTTTCACCGGTTGCTCGTGAGTTCCAGTTTCCACTATCGAGGAGTCATTCTTGTACCTGCCGTCATCATGAGCAAGCGATGCGGCGTGCGGAACATACATTCATACTGAGAGGCGGGGCGGATGAGGTTACCGAAGCGGTGCGAGAAGAGCTCTTGTTGCTTCGGAGCTCTGCGCTAGGCTCGTCGAAGAGAAGCAGGCTTACGCTCGTATCCTAGACACCATAGAACACATGGATGTCCGCGCGCTACATGGACAAGCGCGACCAGCGCACGATCAGAGCCCCGCGCAGGGATGCGACTACATCGACACTCACTGCGAGGCGATGCGCCGCTCAGGGTCAATGCTCCTGATGACTTCATCCCAGCCGCTCCCCGGACCACGCTATAGTTCGCCTTGCGCCTAAAGAGCGCGCCGGTCCTTTGGGGCGACCCTGCGTAGTAGCCGACCGCCGAGCGGTGGAGGTAGGTGTCAAATCCGTCCGGCAGTTTCTCGATGAACGCCTCTACTCCACCTAGGCGTGCAGCGAGTTGAACGCGATCCACCTTCTCCGCGGCGGACGAATCGCCTATAGTGATGTTGCCACGAACCTATGCCAAGATCAAGTCAATTCAAAGATCACACGGGAGTTGGGGCATTTGACTAGACGTACGGACAGCGGAAAGTGCGTGGAGTCTTAGAAGTGAACGAATATTGCTTGTGGGAGGTCTTTGAGCTCCAGTGTGTGAATGTCGCGCTGGTTGAGGAGGGCCTGTCCTTCTTCCGGATCGTACAACCGCACAATGAGCTTCAAAGTCGTACTACTCTTGCCTGAAAACGCTTCTAGCCGTAAGTCAGTACTGACTACACAAATGTAGGTGTCTCATTATACACACTTGAATTCGAGTGCGTTGCCAGACCAGATCTAAGCGCTGTCTTCAGGGAAAGACACCGTACTATCCATGATTATGTCCGGCACGACGGCAACGTCATACAGCCTTCGCGAGCAGTATGGTGAATGATTGGCTCGAACGAACGAGTTCGAAAAAGTTCTGCGCGAGTGCGTCCGTAGTCTCTTCCAGCATTTGAAGCGATGAGAGATAACTGGGCATGCTCGCGGGGTACTACACTACACGAGGAGTGAGGACGATATAACCGAAGTCGGCTAGAAGATAGAATTGTCGCCCGTGCTGGAGCGAAATACTGTACCTGAGGGGGTTCACGAAAGGGATGCTGTAGGAGTGAGGAGTCCCAGGAGTTGACTGGCTGGTCGCCGCTGACATCTCCAACGCGGATTCGTACTCTGTTCAATGCGCCATTGAGTGAGGAATCAATGCGAGTTGTCTCTCGCATACCAGAAGCAGCGTACTCGGCAAGATTTCCAGCGAGAGGCTC